TGTACTTCAACTCCCACAATTCCTAACAGCCTACCTGTTGTGTACTTCAACTCCCACAATTCCTAACAGCCTGCCTATTTTGGACTTCAACTCCCACAATTCCTAACAGCTTACTACTTCTGGACTTTTAAAAACTAAACTGAAAAAAGCCTTAGAACTTAGAAATGCAAAGGAAGGGAAGGAGGCAGGACCCCGGTGCTCTCCACCTATCAACATTTCAATGTGTTGCTCTTAGAACCAATCACAAGGTTGGAAAGAATAAGTGGGCGGGGCGAGACTGGGAACCAATCACAGCTCTGGGAACCAATCACAGCGTGGAGAAGAACGAGCGGGCGGGGCGACGTTACATTATGACGTAGACAGTCGAATAAGGAAGGTACCCGGCCAGTCGCTCTGCCGCTGTTGCCATGGCGACGTCGTCGACCTGCCTGGAGTTGAGGCGCCTGGCTGAGGAGGCCTCTTCCCTGGCCAGCGTCGTCCGCGGCTCTTTGGGACCCCAAGGAGGGCAAGTCCTGCTGACCCGCCCGACGGGGGAGGTTCTCCTCTCGCGGGACGGAGGGCGAGTGCTGCGGGCCCTGAACCTGGACTCCCCGACGGCCAGGTAGAACAGGGCAGGCCTGCATCGCCGAATCCACCCCCTTGGACAGGGCTTTCCTTGCCATGGCTTGATACTATGGAGTCCTAGGAGGTGTAGACGACGCAGGCATCGGCCTTCTTTTGACAGAGAATGCTCAACCCCCATAATTTCATAGCACTGAGACAGGTTGCTAAAGTAGTGTCAAACTTCATTAATTCTACAGGGCCTTTTCTGTTGTGCCCCCCCCCCCCGACTCTGGAACACCCTCCCCAAAGATCTTAGACAGGCCCCTACATTGGCAGTCTTCAGAAAGAACTTGAAGACCTGGCTGTTCCGATGTGTCTTCCCAGAATAGGAATCTCCAATAACAAGTCCCAGAAGCACTTTATTAGAACTAAGATTGCTGCACACCGCACACTGCACTTACCCTATAATCCTTACATATCACCTGTCACATCAGCACTTTTAATCCTGTACCCATTACTCTGGCCCGGCCCAGTTTTATAGTGTCTTGATGTATTGTTTATTGTTTTGTTGTTTTAATATTGCTTTAATTGTTTTTAATTTACTTTAGGTTGTGTATTGTTATGTTGTGTTTTGAGGCCTTGGCCTTTGTAAGCCGCATCAAGTCCTTCGGGAGATGCTAGCGGGGTACAAATAAAGTTAATAATAATAATAATAATAATACAGTGCAGACCCACCCTGATGAGCCCAAAGGCCAGATTGCCTTATTCAGAGAAGTAGGATCTTCCAAATAGCTTGCCACTGAGCCATATAAATAAATAAATATAAATATAATAATAGATTTAGATATATATAGTGTGTATATATATATGTATGTGTGTGTGTGGTAAAGGTTTTCCCCTGACATTAAGTCTGACTCTGGGAGTTGGTGCTCATCTCCATTTCTAAGCCGAAGAGCTGGCATTGTCCGTAGACGCCTCCAAGGTTATGTGGCCAGCATGACTGCATGGAGCGCCCATGTGCTGCAGTGGGTTAAACCGCTGAACTGCTGAGCTTGTTGACCAAAAGGTCAACCGCAGCTTCTGCCAACCTAGCAGTTCCAAAACATGTAAGTTTGAGTAGATCAATATAATAATAATAATAATAATAATAATAATAATAATAAACTTTATTTATACCCCGCTCCATCTCCCTCAGGGGGACTCAATGCAGCTTACATTATTATTATTATTATTATTATTATTATTATTATTATTATTATTATTGACTTTATTTATACCCCGCAAAATCTCCCGAAGGACTCGATGCAGCTTACAAAGGCCCAGGCCGCCGACAACAAAAACATACAGTACACAGTCAAAACTCGTATGCGACCAAGCCCATCCGTGCAGTACATACATTCTAATACAAAAACATAACAATACCAGAACATAAATATATCAAATGCAAAGAAATACACTAAACGACATAAACTATATAAACATGCATTTAGAAACAGAATTTTACTGGGCAGGGCTACATTCAAGGCTAAAAATTTTAAAAAAACCTGGGAGATAGCATAATATAAATAATCAGGATGAGTATCCGTGAATGAGGGAGGATTCAATTGCACAAACCATAAATAAAGTGGTTCTAAGGGTGTTTAGTGCAAAGTTTGGTCATGGAGTTCTTACATTCAATCACTGAAGGCGCATTGGAATAGCCAAGTTTTCAGGTCCTGAAAATTGCTAGTGTGGGGGCTTGCCTAATATCTCTGGGGAGTGAGTTCCAGAGCCGGGGGGCCATCACAGAAAAGGCCTTCTCTCTCGTCCCGCAAGTCACACTTGAGACGCGGGTGGGAGCGGGAGAAGAGCCTCTCTTTGAAGAGATCACGTGAGTTCGCATGAGATCGAAGAGATCACGTGGGTTCGTAAATGGAGATACGGTCACGCAGGTAGGTGGGTCCCAAACCATTCAGGGCTTTGTAGGTCAAAACCTGCACCTTGAATTGGGCCCGGAAAACAAATGGCAGCCAGTGGAGCTCTTTAAACAGGAGGGTTGACCTGTTTTATACACACATACATACACTATATATGTCAGGCATGGGTAAACTTTGGCACTCCAGGTGTTTTGGACTTCAACTCCCACAATTCCTAACAGCCAGTATCAATTGATATCTCATAGAGTCTCAACCAATTCAACATAATTTGCAGCAGCCAAACAACAACAACAACCAACAAAGTTTCTGGAGTATAATAACTTAATTTCAAAGGAAGTACCACACAATTAAATAACACTTTCAAACCAGGAACAGATCCCCCCCCCCCACACACACACACACACATTTTGTTATATAGTGTTTTACTGGGCCCTTGATCTCTGCTGGGATTTCAAGGTTTGCTTTTTTGGATTTTTTTGGATCCATGGATAGAATAGAATAGAATAACTCTACTGCCAAAAACCTTTATTGCCATAAAATCAAGTGCTTTCCCCAGCACATTACAAAAACAGCACACCCATTGGTCTACATTCCAACCCTCACTGCACAGCCCCCAATGCCACGTCAGTGTGAAACTATGGAGTTCAGTATAGTATTTGTGGATATAGAATATGTGGATCCAACTGTACCTTATAATGGCCATCAGGTGGGAAGAAGTGGCAACAGTGTGACATTGATAGGGACCTGAGTCTCCCAGCAGCTGGAAGTATGCCTCCTAAATTATAGTTGATCACATCAATTTGTCTACTGTTATTTTCTGCTAAACATTTGTGGGAATCGATATTTAAAATGAACTGGTTTGTCACTGAATATTTTATGGGGTTTTTTTGTGTGTGTGTCTTTAACAGAATGATGATCGCTTGCCTTTCCACTCACTGCGATTTGGTTGGAGATGGTGCAAAAACCTTTATTATCCTACTCTCCGCTTTATTCCAAGAGATTGAAAGACTCAGCAAAGGAAGCAATGCCTACTTTTGCGAGACTCTTCAAGGAAGGAATAAATATAAAGAAAAAGGTTACATGAAGAAGCAAGTTTCTCAGTTTCTTAGTGTGTTCCAAGAGAAGATCCTGGACCCCTTAGTGACCCAGAAACTTGGAAAACATTTCCAAACTGTTTTTTCTGCTCTTGATACAGAAATAAATAGGAGCACACTGAAGTTGATACTAGAAGCCTATTTTTGTGGGAAAGTAGGCTACAACAGGCAAAAATTTATGTGCCAACTGGCCTATAATTTCTTCTTCAAAACTACAGCTGGAAAAGACAGGAATGAAGTACTACCTTTGGTAGATAAATACTTCTCTGAGTTGCATACTACTGTGGCAGGGCTTCCGGTTTCAGATTCACAGATCCTAGATGGACTTGTTCTTCTTAGAGACTTTGCAGTTTACTGTCCTTCAGATGGTGACAAAAAGGTCCTCATCATAACAGAGCCTATCCACTCTTCTGTTTCTCAGTTGGGTATAGAAGTTGCCATAAGTGGTGAAAGTCAATATGAGGCATCTGAACTCTGGATTACAAAAAGGACAAAAGCGCTAATGAAGCACCTGCAGGACAATAACATCGGAGTCGTATTGTCAAGCATAAAACAACATGAAATCGTTCACTACTGTGCAAAAAATAGTGGCATATGTGTCGTGGAGTGCCTTTCAAGAGACGAAATCTCTCTTATATGCAGAATTACCAACATTTCGCCATTTCAGCCATCTCTAGACAATATTTGCAGTGAAATCACTGAAACAGCTATAGCAACATTTTGCAAGCCATTACAGATTGGTACCAAAATATTTGTTCACATTAATTTTGCAAGAACTTGTGCCCTTCAACCCTGTTGTGTGGTTTTCTGTGGACCGGTGCATGGACTTAATGAGCAACATGCTTGTGCTTTCTATGGAGGGTTCAAAATGCTACAGCATCTGTTTGCAACCATCCATTTAACTGAGTGTTGCCATTCTAAACCTCAGAGTCAAAATCTTCCAAATGCTGTAAATAATCTTCAGGAGTGCCCAGCTGTGCAGCAGCGTTTTGTTGAGATGCAAATAGATTGTAATAGCAATGAAGCCAACACCAGGGAATTGAAACCTTGTGAGTTTAAAATGGAAGCACTTTCTAAAAGTGAAGATGACTTACTGGCATCATCGCAAAAATATCCAAAGGAAGAGCACAGAGCATCTGAGAATGCTATTTTGGAAGATGACCAGTTTGTCTATCCTGGACTAAAGGATAAGAACAGTTCAAGCAATGTACATGGCCAACTGTTTAATGGGGAAAATTGTACCCAGTCCAGTCGTGCTGTTTTAATTAAATGTGAAGAGAATAAGAAGACTGATATCCATAGACATACCAACTTTTGCATAAAGGCAGGTTCAGTTGTGCCAGTAGGAGGAGTCTTTGAGATCCTATTAAATTATTATCTGTCTTGCTATGCAAAGCAATGCCAGTCGCCAAACATATCGGTTCTTTGTACTCTGATTGCTGATGTATTGCTCACTGTTCCAAAAGCACTTTGTAGGACACAGAAAAGGAGTGTTTTTCCTCAGCTGTACCTTGAAGTCACCACTGCCCTCAGGAATGATCAGCAGATTCTGCCAAACCAAAAGTACCTAGAATCAGTATCTTGTAAGTACCAGTTAATAGTTTCTGTCCTTCATTGTGCAGCTACACTCCTCAGAATTGATCTGATCATTGGCATTAAAACGCTACCTCAAACAGCTGAAGAAAGTAACTCAGACAGTGACATGTGAAGGTGGACTTATTATAGGCAAGTCTTCAATGTATGCTTAGTGATTGATAGAACTTCTAATTAGTTTTTCCTGGGCTTGAATTATTGATGTCCATTTGCTATTCAGCCCTGAGAGCATTCATACCATTTTAACAGGGAGTTAAATATCAACAGTGAAGTATTGTGTAGTTTCCAGGCTGAATTGTCATGTAATAGCAGCATTTTCTCCTGACATTTCGGCTGCATCTGTGGCTGGCATCTTCAGAGGATCTGTGATTGGCATCTTCACATCCTCTGAAGATGCCAGCCACAGATGCAGATGAAATGTCAGGAGAAAATGCTGCTAGAACACGGCCATAAACCTGGAAACTACACAACAATCCAGTAATTCCAGCCATGAAAGCTTTCAACAATATATCAAAGGAAATGTAAGGGCTGAGGCTACAACTCTAGATTTGCTTACCAGGGGATAAGGTCCTGTGAACTCAACAAGACTAATAGTTTAAATGTATAGGTTTGCAAAGAGAGGATATTTTAACCTTCTGTTGTTTTTTTAAAAAAGTAATGGACCTAGCCAGTTCCTAGAGTAACCGTTTCCCAGGCTGTGTGTCAGTGAAATTGTGGAATACTCTGTAGGCAGGACTGTTTTCTGTGGGGGAACGATGTGTGCTAGTATTTTTTCATGTTGCAGTGTTTAATCTGCAAAATATAACTTTGTCTGTGGAATTAATAACTTTGTTCTTATTTGTTCCTGGAAAACTAAATAAAATCCTGCTTCAAGTGCTCAGTGTCAAATTTTTCATTCTTTTGGCTATTATTTACGCCATTATGTACGCCGTTCTGAGTGCCCTGCAAGGGTGGGAAGAGCGGGATAGAAATAAATAAATACCTGTAAATAAATATCATACTACAATGAAATCTTCAATATCAGTATTTTTGCTCATATTTTGAAAGGAGGCATTAATAACGTATTTTGTATCTATAGATGTGGGCGAAACATCAGGAGAGAATGCTTCTGGAACATGGCCATACAGCCAAGAAAACTCACAGCAACCCAATAAAACATGATTTGCATTTTTCACATTATCTAAAATAACTTCCAGTAAAGTATTTTGAAATGTAATTACATCACAAAATCCCACGTTCCGTAATGTATTGGGATTGTATTTGCCGTTCAACAAAAGAACAGCTGCTCCCTCCCACGTTTTCTGTTATATTTCCTCTTACTGTAAGCATGTCAGACAGTTTGCATTTGATGTTCAGCTGACTTACAGCATGTGTGTGCTGATTCAAGTATTATAGCAATATACGTCATTGTAAAACTGCAATAGTTATTAGGCTGTTTCTGAAATGTGAACCTCATCACTAAAACAAAAATTACATCAACAGTATTTTAATTACTACATGGGCATTATGAGGTCCCATATCTGCTGTTTGAAACAGTACCATTCAGCAACAGATGGGTCTACCAGTCAGCTTGCTTGGCTGTTAATTGGTTTAAATAGTCTCCGTAAACATATTTGTGGATGAAAATGACAAAATGAATAAGGAGATTTTGCACTCCAGCAGAAATTTGGGGGGGGTGGGGGAGGTTAAACTTGTGTGGAACATCTTTTCTGCCATTGAGGCTTCCAGGCACTATAATCAGAAATATCTAGAGACTACTCACTTTTCTACAAATGGGAATAAACCTGGTGTCATGCATTGCGTCAGCTAGTCAATTTAGTTTTTTAATTATGCCTAACATTTTCATTCACAGATTTGTGTCAGTTTACATTACCTTTGCATTTTTTCCTAGTTCTCCTAATGAATTACATTGGTGCCCTCTAGTGTGTATACTCTGAGGTACAAATGTATGATGTAATTTCACCCACTCCCATCTGCAATTCATGCTGCTATTGAGTACGAAGGATTGGTTACAAGCTGGCTGCTTAGATACAGAATACACATATGTTAAGAACATGCCCATGTTCATACCAGGATTGAAATTAAATATACTGTTTACCATATATATTCAGTTTGTAAACTATTTTACTTATGGTTTTATTAGTAGATACTTGGAAGTTGCGACTTCTGCTTCTTTCCACTGAATTTTAGCAGGCGACAATTTTCACATCTTGGAAATAAAGTTTTAAATGAATTTTAAATGAATGTAGATGCATTTTTAAAGACTTGGGAAAGCTAAAAGCTTTGACTGCTGGAATTCTTGATTCCAGACTACAATTAAGGCACAGGAGCAGAGCCTGTTCTTTATTTTTTTAAAAGAAAGGAAAGGATGGAGGGAGGGAGAGAGCAAGGAACAAAACTTGTTCTCTTTTGACTTTACAACTCCCCTCAGTTGTGTTTTAACCACAGGCTGAAATGTAGTTTTCCTCCTAGGCCTGTTTATCTGGGAGTACATGTAAATCCTAGTGAATTAAATAGCACATCCTCTAGGATTATGTACATGATCACAGCCTTGATATGGTGTGACTGTTTAAGGCAGCATTTCTCAACCTGGGAATTGAAACTGCTTGGGGGGTCATGAGAGAGTTTCAGAGGGGTCACCAAAGACCATCAGAAAATGCATATCTCTGATGGTCTTAAGAACCCCTTTGGCAGAGAAGGCTAAATATCTGCCTGTCCTTCTCTTCCTTTTTGGAAACATACAGCAAATCCTTCCACCAAAAGCCCTTTTCTCAGCCAGCCTCTCAGCTAAGGTAATGTTGGGGTTCAGCCTGAGTTTGAACTTGAACCTGATTCTCTGTTTGTTCTTCCTGATGCTAATGAAAGTATATTTACTGATGCTAGTGGAAATGTACCTTTTGATGCCAATGCTCCTGAAATTAGTGAGGAAGAAACTGCTGTAGGTTTGGAAAATGCCAAAGTTCCTGAAATTAGTGAGGAAGGAACTTCTGTAGATTTGGAAAATGAAAGTACCAGTGTTAATGAGAATGTTGCAGAGGGAGACCTTGAACTTTCCCTCCCTTCTGCACCTGTTAACTGTAATGACAACAGAAGGAGCCAAATCTGGGAAGACAGAAATAAAACACTCAGTTTGCGTCGTTCCTCCCGAATTCAAGAATTAAAAACATTGGCCTCAAAACAGTGGGCCGGTTCACGGAACCGATTCTTGAGTTTTAATTGCAATACGCCAGGCTGATTCCCTCAGTTCAGGCATCGTTTCAGAATTGATGAAGACCTTGGCAGTTCTCCCGGTTCCCTGGCCATAGTATGGAAAGATTTCTAGGATATCAAGTACGGTTAGTGGATTGCTAACAGCTTCAAGTATTTCTCAGAGAGGCTTGTGGTTTTGCCTTGTCCATTTAAATTCATGTTTGCTGATTTTGCTGTGGCTTTTGACTTGCATTTTTCCTTTATATTGTAACTATTTTTCTTCAATAAAAAAGGATTGTTTTTCACAGCCAAGTGTGGTGGATAGTTATCTTAGGCCTCGTTCTCTGCTCTGGATTGCAACAGGTAAGAGTTGTTTCTGAGACTCCAAGTGGGCAGGGGAGAGCAGGCATGCTCGGCGCATGGCAGCACGGGGCACATGTGCAGGAGAGGAAGAGTGTGCGAGACTGGAGGGAGGCTCACGTCAGCTAGTCCCTTCAAGGTTCAATTTCATTGTTGGTGGAGTTCAGAATGCTCTTTGATTGTAGGTGAACTATAAATCCCAGCAACTCCAACTCCCAAATATCAAGGTCTGTTTCCCCCAGACTCCACCAGTGTTCACATTTGAACATATTGAGGCACGAGGAAGGTTGAGAAACACTGGTTTAAGGCTTAAGGATATGACCATCCTCTCTTACAAGGATAATCCAAAAGAAACAAGAGTAAGATGCTCTTAAACGTCCCTAAAATTCCTATTATCTTGGGGGGGGGGGGATAGCACCATCTTCTGGAAAACTCCAATTTACCCTCTCCAAATAATAATAATACTTTATTTATATTTCGCTCTTTCCCTCCTAGGGGACTTAGAGTGGATTACAACAAACAGATAGGCAAACATTCAATGCCTTTAATACAATGGAATAACAATGACATACAAATACACAGAACAAAGGTAAAGGCTTCCCCTTTCATATCTGGCTTCTGGAGGCAGTGTTCAACTTTGGCCATGGGGAGGTGCTCTTGTTCCATTTCCTATCCAAGGTGCCTGTAGTCCAAAGACACTTTCGTTGGTATTGCCTGCATGGCTGCATGAGGGCCTTTATTACCTTCCTGCCAAAGCAGTACCTACTCACATTTGCATGTTTTTAACTGCTAGATTGGCAGGAACTAAAGCTAACAGCGAGAGCTCACTCCAACATGCAGCTTCAAACTTTAAGTCAACAGATTCAAGAGTTCAACCATTTCACCCATTGTGCCATCGTAGCCCTACAGAGGTGTTATTTCAGAGGAAAGAACCTCTAAGTATACCTCTGCCTAATAAAACCCTATGAAAATTATGGGGTCATCATATGCCAGCACGTGACATGAAGACACACTCGCAGAGATGCTACTTAGATGGTAGAGAGTGGTTAAAGTGAAAATTTCTCTGTGCTTATGCTAGAGATCTCAAGTCATTTTGGGGTGTATCTATATTTCTAACTCGCTGGTTCTACATATTACTGCAAGTGTATAAATTGGACCTAACTAGCTTTATGCATACCCAAAAAATCAATTTGCAGTCAGCAAAATGAGCAATTGTTTTGAGCCCGCTAGCCCTAAATGATAGTTAACATCAGAATATGATTGGACAGTTATGAATACATAACCTAAATTACATACTCATGACTATTGTATAGTCACAGTATCTTCATAGCCCCTCATTTAAGTGGTACATCGGGGCTGTAAAAGTCCCCCAATCTACTCTAACCAGACTGCAATTGATGGGGATCTGTTCTCCTGTTGTGTGAAAGTCTCATCCCACCCACCACCTTGTGTGAGCAATTTCTGGCATAAGGGAGAATTACAACTGGATTCTGGCTGATGCACTGGAGTTTGCCCATGCCTGTTATAGAGGGAACCTGAAAAATTGCCATCTCTATGACAGTGTTATAGATGTATATTAAAGATACAACAGATGGCCCTAAAATGCTTTAGAACTGGTGCTTTTGCAATTGAATCTCGCTGAACTCCAAAAGCAGATCCTGAATGCTTTCTAGACATTGGTCCTTTCCCATTACTCATATGGAGGTGTTACTATGAATCATGGTGTTTGCAGCACAGTTTTGCACATCAGGAAAGATGCAAAAACCCTAAATATAACCTTATTTGTAAAAACAAAGCTAAAAATAAATCCTGCTGGTTGAAAGCAGATGGCAATGTACGTCTGCATAAGTGGACTTAATATCTATCGGAATAAAAAGAATGGGTGTTTGCATAACATTTGTATGTGTCTTGTTACACATCTTTGCAATTCACTAATGCAATGTCTTAGTGCTTCTGCTACATAATTAAGAATGTGCAATGCTAAGTAGTATAAACCACAATAAAGGATTCCAGCCAACATCATTTCAGGAATTCTGTATTTTTTAAAAAAATCAGTGCTTTGCCAGATTATGCCATGGTTACAAAGTGCTTTTGAAGTCATAATCAGAAGAATAATTAATGAGTATTATATAAGAAGTGGGTCAAATTAAGGACCTAACAAGAAAGCAATACAGCACAATATAAAAGCAACCATTTCACTTCTAAGGAAAATGAGAGCTACATTCTTCCCCCATTTTGCCTCAGATCTAAGAAAACGAGGGAAAGGAATGAGCATCATCTTCAGTTACATTTTGTACATGACTACATTTGTATGTTATTGTTTATCA